ATCATAGGATCCTCCTTATGCATTACTTGCATACATTTAGTAATGATTGTAGGCATCAATAGAAGGGGATAGAATGTGGAAGTCAGTTTTGTTAAAAATATAGCTGGACAGCAACTACATATAGCTAACAACAAGCAACAGGATGTATTCAGGTTACACGGGTCAGTAAGAGAAGCAGGTGGTGGATGGAACAATATTCAAAAAACAAAATTGAAAAATGTGCAAATATTTTGGGTCCAAAATATAAAATTTGACAAGTGCACAGAATCCCGATGATATGGATATGCTATGGAAAGAGGCATGGAACAGACAGACGCTGACATTAAAATGCAGATACAATAAATCTGCATATGTGTCATATAATAGGCTATAACACCATATACCCGCAAAAAACATCACTTACTTTTTTTTACTATTGTAACCGTTAGTGGTAATAAGTCATGTGGGTTTGTCATTTGTATCTTATACAAGTAACTAAGTACATCTCCTCACTTATAGCTGAAAGACTGACTGGGTCACCAACTTTAAAAGAACAAAAGTATTTGCGGGTTAAAGTAATATTAATAATAATCTTATTTGTAATAACACATTGCACAGGTATGACTACATGTAAAGGGATTTATGATGTGCTTTTGATGTACAGAGTCCTTCATCACCTGTAGATTATCATCAGGGCACGTTGTGTCTCCTTTCCTTTGTTATAAATGTTTTGTAGTTCTTCTTTGCTCTCAGCATCAGGAAGAATATTGTGTTTTTTACATTACTTGACGCTCAATGTCTTTTAATTATGTTTTTAGTTCCTGGAATGAAAGTACTAATTTCTGGTTTATAATTTCTGAATTCTACAGTTTATCCACATCCTGTGTAGTTGGACGTTTTGAATAGTTGTTGATGGGTTATTCCAAAATTATTCCAATTTATTTTTTAAGCATTTAAAGTACTATTACTTACAATTCATTCATTTTCGCTCAGAGTTAAGGCTGGACGTAAGCGTTAAGGTTGTAACGGATGTCCACGGTTCCTTATTTGTATTGTTAATTATATTGTCAATATAAAACATTTGAGCTGAAACGTGTAACTCCAGATTAAGGGGCATCTTTCTGGAGAGATACTTAAAGTACATTTAGCAGATAATACTTCTGTATTTTTACCCCAGTTGGTTTTCGAATGCAAGACTTTTACTAGTAATGGAGCATATTTACACTGTAATGATGTTTTCCCACCTCTGCAGTCATTGAATGCCGTTCCTTTTATATTGTACATAATGTCCATCTGTCGTACACTCGGCCATAATCTGCAGTCCTTTATCAGCAAACATTTAGCTTCAGTATATCTGCAGTCATTAAATATGCATTGTTTTTACTGCTATTTGAATAACACGTGCAGAAACTATTCCCAGCACTGTTGGAAGAAAAATGAAATAGCTCTTTAGAAGATTTGGAAATGCTGAAAGTTTTATTAGTGAGCTCGTTCGTGTCAGACTCTGAGTTAATGTGACGTCTGCTTCTGTTGTTCCCTGCAGTTAAATTAGCACGAGTAATAAGATTATCCAAGCCTACTTATTGCAATCACTTGGTCTTAATAACTGTGTTTGTTCGTGGTCAGTGATTGAATATACCCTTTATTTCATTATGACTCTCCCTAACACCCACAGGACAAAACACCTGCTCCTTCAATCTCTCTGTTTCTTCATCTCTTTTTCCGTATTGCTTTCTTTCACCGTGTCTTTGCTCTGTGTATCACTGCTCTCATGATCCACCTCAGTCAACTTCTCTCTTCCCACCTAATGGAAGCCAAAGGGAGACAAAATGATGCTGTCATCAAACATAGTTTATGTAACAGTCATGGGACCGTGGGCTGTTTGCTGTGCCGCAGTCTCCCGCTGGCTTGACGTCTCTCTCTCCTTCTTGACTCCAGATTCTGTCGCTGGCAGACGGATATTTGTGCAGAATCACACCAGATCCCAACCAAAGCAACACTCTCTGTTCTACGTCTTTGTGAACTATGACCTTACAATCGAATCCCAGTTATTTGAAGTACACATACGTCAGGGCTTTGGAATGCAGAGAGGCAGAAATGTGTTTGACTCACTTCGACATTAAAAGAGTTTGTACTGAATCATAATACCTGGTGGTATGTATAACACATCTTAATATCTGCGGTGATGTGTTCGAATGCATTGAAGTCACGGTCTTCTGATGATAATCAGTGATGCATATAAACATGCCCACTGAACGACAAGAAAGAAAAAGATTTACAGAGGCAAGTACATTTATTTCTAATCATCCCCCATACATGTATTTATTGTTTGATGAGGTCACTCACTCACATTTTAACACTGTTGGTTCATTGCTGTTTGTGTGCATGCATGCATGCTGCAGGTGTGTCACAAGCTGACAGATTCAATCGATTCCTGACAAAATATCAGCCCCTTTGAAGTTGGTGTTAACCTTTCCAACTCAAGCCATCTTTGGTCCTTGTGGGCAGACACATTCATGAGGGTGTGGCTCCAGCAGTAGCGGATCTCTGACAGACTGTGTTGCTATAAAGCAGAAAGCTGTTCTGTGGAGGTGTAGTGGGAGTTGTAGGACGGGTGGTCCAGTTTATGGTGCCTTGTCATGTACAAATAAATAGCCTATTACAGAGTAATGTATGTTATGATATTGCATTTTGTTTTATGTTTTATGTTTAATGTTGCAGCTGGGAAAGGTGGGGCTAATTACTTCATATACTGCTGGTATATGAAGCTTATGAAGTCTTATTTAATCGTACTTTAACCGATAATAGTTCATCATAATTTATTTGTTGTAATGTATTTTCCAAGCACTATTTTAACATCACCATTAAATGAGGACACTCTTATCACCTGCTCTTATTTATAACTTGTTTCCTCTTATTGTTTGAATCCATGCTTAGTCCATTGCTACACTCATCACGTCATGCTAGATAACTGAAAAGTCAAACTACTGCCAATGTTGCATTAAGCTTTATTTATTTATGTATTTGTTTTACATCAGAAGTCGTCCATCCTGAATGACTGCTAACCTAATTAGTACAATAAACTCCTGAGTATTGTTAAATTACAAATGTCTGAAATCAGTGACCCCGAGGAAGTACCAGCGCAGGAAGCAGCCAGACACACACTTCCTGTCTCACTCCTGTGAGCAGTCAACAGTCAAGGACTGGTCTGGACAATAAGCACTTATTATAATACTGATAATAAGCGTTGTGTCTCAACAAGCCTGGAAACCTTGATGACTCAGAAGAGATTATTCAGACGAATCCTAGTATTTCTATTGTCAGGTAAATAATGAAGGGTTTTTGTGACTATTTTCTGTTTTAAAACTGTTCTGCTTTGTTTTGGTCTTTTGTTGAGCAGATGTAATGATTGCACGGCACAGGTCCAATATGTATCCCTCTATCTCTCTCAATCTCACTCTCACTTCAACTGAATTCACTTCCAGCTGACTGAGATTTATCGACATTAAAGTTCTAAAACAATATTGCCAAGGTAAGGGAGTACAATATAATGTCTTTCTGTCTCACTTCAGCCTCTCTTCCTCACAGTTTAATATCGTTTAACTGAATTCAGGTCAGTTATTGCGCTGTATTGGCACTGATGTTGTGCAAACGATTTTGTCAAGCAGAACAGTTCAATCATGGAATAGATAAATAGATCACTAATAACACAAAACGATTGTCCTCATTCTGTCTCATACACTGTAAATGATATTAGCTTCACTGGTATAAATATGAGATGAACAATATCAATGGCTAAATCATTGTGTGTGTGTGTGTGTGTGTGTGTGTGTGTGTGTGTGTGTGTCTTCAACTCATTTTAATTCTTTTGTCTCAAACATAACAAATGTTCAGACATTCTTACAACAGCTAAAGAGATGGTGCACCTGAGAAATATCTAGTAATACCAACAGCTAAAATAACAAATTCACACTCTGATCGGGTTTGAAGCTGGAAATAGTAAAACAAGGCTCTGTGATTTATTCACTTTGTTTTGCATCTCATGTATTCATTAGCATATAATAAAACAAAATAATACATTAGATGAATAAAAATAGAAAATGAAAAGTTCACGCTTGTCCTCTGGAAAGCCAATTGTCTTTTTCCATCTGAATTGAGCACAATTGAAAACAGCAATGCAGGTTTCCTTCAATGTAAATAGGTATATATGTATATTACATGTAAAAGAAAGAACACTCAAACAAATAAACAAAAAACATTGTGGGATTTAGAAAACAACATAATCTTCAAAACACTTTTTTTAAATTGTGCTTGTGAATACAGCATGTTGTAACTAATAAGCATGTTATCACTTATATAGGCGACCATACAACACACATTGATATCCTCCGTGTGGGGATCTACGAAGAGAAAAAAAGGAACAACATTTTACCTGGGTCAATTTTAAAAGTGGTTAATATGGAGCTAAAGCCTTAGGTTTATCAAAAGTTCTGAACATTTGAAAATAAAATTGAAAATGTACATCCACAAAAAAAGAATCTGAAAATATAAAATCTGGAAAATATAAGAACTCAAATATCAAAATATATATGAAAGTGATAAATGAAAAAGAAAAATGTATTCAAAAAAATTCCAGAACTGAATCAAAATGATATTCAACCCAAAAAACCTTTTCATTCACTTATTTTTATTTTGAATGCATTGCTGTATTTTTCAGTGTTCAAGAACACAACTTGAACTTTCAGGTCACATTTTTTTTTTCAAGTGATCAAATCTCTTGACCTGGATTTATCTCCATACAGTTCGGCCTTAAGTGTGTGTGTCGTTACGAACTCCCGCCTCCCGAGGAAAGCTTCAGGAGATCCCTCTCACCCTCTGACTGTAACGGACAGTCGAGTGATGAGCAGCGGCTCCTCTGCACGAGGCGTGGCGGCTTTCTATTTGCTCAGTGTTTGCAAGGTAACCGCGCGGAGCGGCTTGGCAGGAATTGTAGTGCAAAAAGGTCGCATCCGCTTTAGTACCAACACATGGGCCGAGACAAGAAACTACATATCCCAGAATGCTTTAACTTCGGAAGTGCCCTCCCGTTTTGAGCACATGACTTGGGGTTCACCAGTGTGCCGCAACAGAAACATTTGCATCGCTGTCCCGGATATCTGTGTTTCCACGCTAGTCGTGCTGTGTGTGTGTGTGTGAGGATGAAGCTGCAGTGTGTGCTCGCTGCTCTGTGTGTAGGTGTGGGGGCACTGGCCGGGAAATACACTCGTGAATTGAACGAGCCCAAGCCGAGCGGCGGCGGCAGTGATGGGCAGACGGTGGAGTTCAGGATCGCTAAATTGAACCAGGTGTGGGAGAAGGCGAAAAGGGTAAGTGTATGACACGAGCTATTACCTGCACGGTTAGCCTGGAGCTAACACAGATACCGTCAGTGAGAACCGAGCAAGCTAACGCTTCAGTCTGAGTCTGGCTGCTCCGCTTTCCTCAGCTGTACGGTTGTAATATTCGTCGTTCTAATTGAATATACAGCCTTCATACACGCAGGTTAATGAGGTAGGAGTGTGTACAAGCTTAATGTGGTTTACTTGTGTGTATTCCGAGTGATTCACAGCAAAGAAGCTGTGGAGTAAAGCTTGGAGCTGGAGTGTTGCTAGAATGTGTAGTAAGCTAACTGAAGTTATGATAACGCATGCATTGCAAAAACAAGAGAGTGAATTAGTTCATCACAAAGAACATTTTGTTGGTAAATGTGGTCCGACTGCTGTTGTCTCTTCTTCTGGTTTTTGGTAGCTGCAGTTGACTCCGGTGCAGCAGTCTGAGCTGCACAGCGACCTGAAGATCCAGGAGAAGGATGAGCTGCAGTGGAAGAAGGTGAAAGTGGAGGGGCTGGTTGAGAACGGGGAGAGAGAGGCCCAGCTCCGACGCAGCTTCTACGGTGAGACCGCTCTGTGCAGTCGGGCATGAGGCGAACTGTTTCCACACGTTGTCCTGAAGTCGCTGTAGAGTCAGTCCGGCCTAAATACGCACTCATTCACTCTCTGAGAACAGAAACATGCTGGTGTTCACCAACCAGGCATGAATATCAAGCGGCTCCCAAACTAAAAACCGGTATTAGTAAAGTATAATCAAGACTCATTTATTTCTCCTTAATCCTTAATCCAGTCCAGAGCTGCTGTGTGAGTGCGTGTACCTTCGTACCTGCAGGCAATGCACCAGCCAGATGGACTCGTCTGTTTAGCGTTCTGCTACGAGCAGCCAGTTCGCTCCTCTAGTTCCTCCCCAGTGGTGACGTGACCTCCAGCAGCAGAGTCTCTCTCCTTTGTAGCTTCATACAAACGCCTTCAAGGAGGACCTCAAGTCACCTCATCCCCACTGAATCAAGCCCTCCAGTCATTCTAATTGGGCTCAGAAGTCATTTCTATCTTTCCTTGTTTTTCTTTTCATCGCTCTGTTGTAGATGCTCTTGGTTCGATTTGCCTAGAGACAGTCTGACACCTTGCTTGTTGTTAATTGGTTGGTCTGGGAATGTTTGCACACGCTGCAGATCTCTTGGGTCAAGAAACTGCTGAACACATAAAATGTGAAGGAACCGTTCTGCAGAGATTGTCCTCAAGTTCTCGCCTCCTTTTTATGAGGATTTTAAATGAGCCGTCTGCACGTGGCCGCTCTCCTAATGAAACATGTAGTTAATAAGTGACACTGATGGTTACCAACAGTTTGAGAAGGTGCTGAATCAGCGGCTGCAATAACGGTTTACTACAGCAGAATAATAAAGGCAGAGCTTCTTCAGAGCAAAGTCCAACTTTGTATTGTACTGCAGCAGTCCAACATGTTGAGAGAGGACCAAGCTGCTCATATCTTCATAGCTGCTCACTATGTTTAGACCAAACATGGCAACAGCATCACTTACCTGTCCTGGAGAACCAGTCTAAGTTTGTGCGCTGGCAGTTTTTGATGCATTTAAAATCCTCCTTTTGATATTTTGTCATCTTTTGTGTTCCTCTTGTCTCACTCATCATTATTAGTTGTTATCAGGTTAAGTGCAGCATGACAGAAAGCACATGGACATCACCTGCTCTGTGCTACTCGTGTCAACAGAAAGGTGACGTTAGTTTGTTCAGATGAGCTCTTGTTAGATTCCTCGACGCTAAAGCTCGTTTCTTGGCCTTCGCAGCTTATTTTCAGCATGCGATGCATCAGAGACGCTGCTCCCTGTGATATTAATGAGTTGCCGTCAAGGGATGTGGGCCTCTGGGTAATATGTGACGTGACATGTTTGAGTCTTTCTTAAATGATGAATATATTTGTGTCTTAGTCACTTTAGATTTTCTTACTTGTCAAACCGTTTCCTCTCGTGCCGGCCTCAGTTGTTACTCCTCGCAGGCTCGTGTTGGGATCATTTATCGCAGCAGTAAAAAGTCTGTTTGTTATGTAGTGATCCTGGCCAAATATGGAATGGACGGGAAAAGAGACACTCGCCCACTGGAGAGCAACCACCTGAAGGACCACGACACCCAAGAGGGAGACATGTTTGACGACCCAAGGCTGGACAAACTGTGGAACAAGGTGTGTGGGGGTGTGTGTGTGTGGGTGTGTGTGTGTGTGTGTGTGTGGGGGTGGAGAAAAGAAAAAGTTTCCATTTCTGCAGACGTTGTCTCAGGGAATTACCCACGAGTCATAGCAAAAAACACACAGTTGGAAGCCGGAGACGTAAGAAAACATGGGTAAACAAAGAGGACGGCCCATTGGTGTTCAGCCTGGCATATTAAGTTTACGCTGAAGCATTAAGGGTTAAAGATGAAACATAAGAGCAGAGACGTTATTACACAGATTTATTCATCAAACATTTCATCGTGTTCTTGAAGATGTTTGGACAAAAACAAGTAATAGATTATTTGACAATTGCAAAATCAAGTCAGAAGTTGCTGAAGGACCAGAGTAGAGAAGTTCTATTGTGACAACGCACTCTGTTTTATATCTATTGTGTTTTAGAGTGTTGAAATGTTTAAGCTCAATTTCTCAAACGTTGAAATCTCTGCTTATTCTAGTTGCCAACAATAAAATCTGTAATCTTTAGATTGTGGAATGTGTATATTCCAGCTAAACCTTCTGACACATCGAGTGAGGGAATTGTAGCGTAACAAGCGTTGATCCTTTGGAACACCTCCATCATTCTCACGTCGTTCTTCTCTGTCCGATGTACGTCCGTTACGCTCGTGCTTGTGAGACGACCTTCTACAACGACTGTTTCCCCATCAGGCCAAGATCTCGGGGAAGTTCTCCAGCGAGGAGCTGCTGAGTCTGAAGAGGGAGTTCCAGCATCACAAGGACAAGACCCACGAGTACAACATCCTCATGGACACTGTCAGCAGGACCGAAGGTGAGCTACGTGAATCGCACCACCTCTGCTTCGTTATGTCAGTATTTCCGTCGGCCAGGTTTATGAGCCTTTAAGCCCTCTCTTCCTCTCTGCCGTCCACTGTCTGTTGTGTATATACAATCATGGTTCTGGTCCCAGGTTTGCTCCTAAGCCCACCAGAATAACTTTGAAGATTACATTTTACATATTAAACTAAAACCTGGAGAATTCTGCTGAGCACATTCATGTTTTCTAGCTGTCGGGGCAGTTTCCAAAGTAAGTGAATGCAAAGATTAACACATTCTCACCCTCTTCTTTACCTCATTTGGTTATGAACTCTGCTGTTGCTCGGGTCAGTCAGCCCCACCTGCTGTGTCTCCTTCTGAACCTGGCTGAACTACGAGCGGTCCACAGCGTTACATGTGTGGCGTACAGGCCGGGGGTGTTTTTCTGCTTGTCTGATGCAGTTAAATATTGAACGGATCACAAGGTGCCTTGAGAGGAGTGTCCGTGCACCTTCACAACACCGTCACCTCCAACCCCACACACATGTTTGCTTCCTTTATTCTGCCTTGTTTTTTTTTTTGTTTTTTTTGATCTAAATGTCAACTGTTGTGCAAGTGGCCTTTGTTGGCTTCTTGCCTCCTCGTGGTGAGACGGGCACGTGTTGCATCAGCACATTGTGGCATCAACCGATGACATGAGACCCATAAGCTACTCAAGGTTTGGTATATGAAGAAAAAGACAGTCCAGTGAAATGTTTATAGTTACCACTAACCTCAGCTTATGTAATGCTGTTCTTCTTTGGCTAATTTGCTGCTTTCATTTCCTTCTTCTTCCTCCTATTCTTTGTTTCTTCTTCCTTTCTTCTCTCTCTTCTTCATGGATTCTTGTTTTCCTCCACCCGTCATTCTCTCCGTCTGTTCCCTTCAACAGAAATACACAAGAACGTGATCTCTTCCCTGGAGGGCGACGCCAAAGAGCACATGCTGCACCAGAAGCACACGGACCTGAAGCAGAAGATGAGAGACCTCAACCAGGGCTTTGAGCGCCTCCGTAAACTCAGCCACGAGGGCTTCACTGGAGACAGTGGTGAGCGAGAGAACACACACACATCTCAGTCTTACTCTGCGTCTATCTCTTTATTATATTAGAACAGAGATTTTAATTCAATCTTCTTTCATTTTGTGACTAAATGACTGAGCAGCTAGTTTCATATAAAACGTCTGCTGTGACTGCTGCTCTTCAAAGCTCCCTGTTGAGTGCGCATGTGTTGGTGAGGCTCCAGACTGTCTCCTCGGAGTGTTCATCCCTTCATCTCGGGCTCTGTTGGTTGTTCCTCTGTAGAGTTCCGGGAGCCCCGTGTGATTGAACTGTGGGAGGCTGCCAAGAGAACAAACCTCAGCGAAGACGATTTGGACTCTCTGAAGGTAGCGCATGCATTGCTAGTCATGGTCTTTTGGATGCTTTATCACAGTGCTGCAGTCTAAATCTTCTAACACAAACCTTTGTGGTGTATTTGGTAGCTTAGTACTACTTGTGCGTGGTGAGCCTTGCGTGCACAGCATTCTGATCACATCTCTCATTGTGCTCCTTTCACCCTTTGTCCCAAATCAACTGAAGAAACCAATTGAAATGTCCGCTCTATTTAAGTATATCTGGCTTTAAGATCAGTTGTGTCAAAGGGTAACATTTCCTCTCTAGTCAGTACTTGAGATGCAAATCAGCTCTGTTGTGCCTGTAAGTGAACTTGTGTTCACCGCCCTCCTCTCCTCGTTCACTCAGGAGGAGCTGCGTCACTTTGAGACCAAGGTAGAGAAGCACAGCCATTACCAGGAGCAGCTGGAGCTTTCCCACCAGAAGTTGCGACATGTGGAGTCTTTAGGAGACAAAGAGCACATCAAGAGGAACCAGGAGAAGTACGAGACACTCGCTGAGAAAACCAGGGAGATGGGTTACAAGGTAAGGAGGGGTACAAAGTCTGTCCGTTAGCTCTCAGCTATACATTTTACCATCAAACAACACAAAGCTACGGTCAGCTGACTGCTGTAGAAACTAATGATGTTGCAAAATGGGCATGAATAAAAGATGGCATAGTGCTGAGAAAGAGCAGTTAAAGAAAGAAGGGACACGAGTTAAGAACACTTAATGTTGTTCCATTGTAGAGAAGCAGAGTCTTATTTATAGACCGTTTCTGGTAAATGAAAGGAATCAAACCTCACAAGAACATGTTTCCCTTTTATACCTCACGTTTACACATATAACAATAACTCTGATGAAGCAGGCGCGTTAGCTGGAGATCATTTCTGAGGCATAATTAGTCAGCCATATGTTTAAACATTGGCACCATTTATTTATTGGTATAAGAGGTAATGTTTCTATATAAGTATATTCTTCTACATAAATGTGTCATGGTAGCGCGTGTGTGAGGCTGTCACATGGTCACGTACGTGTATTTGTTTGGTTTCAGATGAAGAAACATATGCAGGACTTGTCTAACAAGATCTCCCAGGAGGGCCTCCGGCATAATGAGCTCTGAGAGGATCACGACTGAACTGAAATAATTCCCTCTTCAATCACAGCGCTCCTTCAACTACAAAAAGAAATCCGTTTTCTACTTTTCTAGTGTTATCTGACATTGATTTATTTTGTCGATGAATCGTGGGTTGTTTGTACATAGTATTCAGACTAGTCTGCTACATCTGTGTGCAGGTGTAGAAGAAATGTCTCGCTGAAAATGTGGCCAAAATCCCAAAACGGCATGAACAGAAGTTGAGTCACTCTTAGTCAGATGATGGAGTTTAGTTGCTGAGGGATGGTTCAGGGGAACAGCCAACCGACTGCACTAGTACTTCACACTGTCCACACCCGTCTATCAGTTACTAATGTAATATCAGCTACTGTAGTAACGTGTACCTCAGTCTGCTGAACTATTGTAATGTTATCGTCTAATCAATTTAAAATGAAGACAGTGCAGATTCAGCAAGATAACAGCAATCTTTAATGTGTAAGATATACAGGTGCCAACAACATACAAACAGTAATATTTAAAAAAATATAGTCAAACATCACTCTCATTGTCTTGGCACGGATAAAAACAGTTCATATTTACAAACCCTGTTGTGCTATTTCTGGTTTCTGCTGATAAACTTAGTGCCATATGTTGGAGAGTTTAGAACAAACACACTTCCGTGCTTTTCTATTCATCAACTCCCACTAGCAGCAGTCGGCAGCGTCATTGATTATTGTGATGAGTAATGATCCTGGCTGGCTGGGCCTCATGGGTCTGGATTAATGTCATCTGAACCTGAAGTAAAGTAAAGTATCGCTAAGATGCTTCTTTCAATCGAGTGCTTTTAAGCTCAGCTGTGGAACGACGAGTTCCCCAGTTAGCTTGTCTAACAGTCGAGGTGTCGGTGCCATGAGGGGGGCTTGATCTCAGTCTGAAGAAAGTCAATTTATTTGTAAATTCCACCTTGCCAAGTACAGCTGCTGTCGATCCTTTTTCCATACTTATATTATCAGGTTAACATTAGTGTTTAGTGCATTCCTTTATGATTAAGGCTATTTTATAATGATCACCTGAGTGATTCTTAGAAGGCCTTCTATTGTTATTCATAGTGGGATGGACTGTTGGTGGGAACACTGACATAACTTCTGTGTTCTAAGTACAACAGTGATTGCTATGATCAACTGCAATTAAGCACTTAAGCTTATTTACGGAGGAGATGGAAAGAATCGGCGATGAAAACTGTTTTGAAGTGTCCGTTTGGTAGCCCTCAGCGCCTGCTCTCCTGCTGAGTCAGCCTGTCCTCTCGGCCCCGAACATGCTCCGCCCCCTCGCTGAGCTGTTTCCATGGTAGTGATGTCGAGGTGGGCGGACTTCATGGAGCCCTCTTCAGCGGTGAAGGGGAGAGAAGGAAAGACGTCTGCGTTACGTGATCGCTAACCTAGAATAGTTACTTTGACCCTGTGTTAACTTCAGTGGTAGTGCTGCAATATAACTCTTAACCATTCATTAAATGGAAATGCATTAAACTACTTCAAGGTCTTTGCTTTATTTTGCAAATTCACAGCTTAGAATTTAAATGTTTAAACTGTAGATCTATTTTCAGAATCTAAAGATGTCATTGATATGTCTTTTTCATGAATAAAGTCTTTCTCCCCATTTATTTTGTTTACTGTCCCTCCTTCACATCTGTAAATAGAGCACACACACACACACACACACACACAAAGATAAGCTGCAGTTGTAGAACACTCTCAACCAAAGAAAACGTATCTGTGTGTTAATGGTAGCCGTGTCATGTCATCTATTTCTGAGCCACTGAATTGGATGCCATCTTAGCCATGTTAAACCCTGTTGCCATATTGCAGTTGTCACTGGGTGTGCAGAGCTGCAGAGTGTTACCTCTGAAGGCGCTGTACACACTGGAGACTGACGCTGAGATGGGCTCTTGCAGGTCCAGCTCTGTGTAGAGAAGCTCTCCGTGAGTCGTAGCTGGTCGGGCGCTAACGGGGATGTTAACATAATGAACCAGGCTGTCCCTGTGGAGCCGAGTGTCCAGGGCTCCAGACGGAGGAGCTTCACGGGCAGACTGGAGAACACCTAAAGAAAGATCCAAAGAGGTTCACTGGTCAGCTGGTCGCCCATCTGATTCCACACCAGCAAGATTCAAGATGTAAGCAGTGATACTCTTGATAGGACTAGTCATAAAAAGACATACATATCTGTCATATTTCTGTCATTTGTCATTAAAAAGTGATAAATATTCATAGTAAAAGTCAAAAAACATATCAAATCATATAGTATGTCCTAAAACATATTGTGAAAAAGCCGTAGCATGTCATAGTATAGCATGTAGTAGTGCTATAGTGAAGTATTTCATCAAAAAACGTAAAAGTCCTACTATAGTATGCAACATAAAGTATAGTATGACGTAGTATAGTAGGCCATTAAGAGTTATAGTATACATGTAATGAAGTCATGATATAGTCAATAGTATTTCATAAAAGCACAAAGACGAATGAGTCACAGACAGACACTGTGCTCTTCTTACCACAGGCTGATGTTGGCCGATGCCTGCTCAGTGCAACAGGCAGCGGGGGGGGTGGGGGGGCAGAGGGTGGCAAAGAGGGCATCGACCTCTTCAGACCCGCTAACGTATCACCAGCTTCATCCTGCTCCTCTCTCAAACAGAGAAAACCATCTGAGAGCAAAGTATCCAGATTATTACAATAAAACAACGTGAACATTACAGGGAAATATGATGTGCTCGTATGACATATCAGCAATGTACCAACGCTGTCGAACAACAAAGAAAAACAAACATATTACATATTTCTCCTTTAAGAACAGTACTTCAGTTCCCACCATATATATATATATATATATATGTATCTACAAACATACCTCGTGTATCTGCAGAAGGTGACGGGACTGATGGAGAGTTGGCAACCTAGGAGACAAATGACAAAAACATTTCAGATTCTGTCTTGAAGAACTTATTTACAGTGAATTAGTTTTAAGAATCACGCTTGTTTGATGTTTTTGTCGTGTTGTATTATATAACTTCTGAGAGAGATGCACACTCGCTCAGTCATGGACCTTCTCTTAGTCAGTTGATTTAAGAACAGCATCATCTTTATCTGTGACATGTAAGAAAGTCGTGTACCAGTAACACCAGTAACACTGTTCTTCCTTGGTTCCTCAGCTGTACACCTGCTATGATATAGTTGCGTCACACACCTAAGTCACAGCTACTCACGATGAGAAACAGCAGTAATCAGGCCGATAGTCTGGTTCACGGTAAAAACACCAGGGGCTTAAACAACTATATATTAATCATGATGTTTAGATATGAAAGTATTGAATTATATTACTATTCAAACTCCATACATTATTTTATCCATCCGCAATCCATCCATCTATGAGCCAGAAAACCCAACAGCTTTCAGGTGCATTCCCGTCACCCAGTTATTAGACTGTGGAAGGGACGGGCGAACCAATCAAAAAGGGCCGTCCCATCCACGCCGCTGCCACAGAAGCCTAATGCTTCCCCTCTGGTTACCCTCAACGTTAACAGTAGTTTGTGCTGTCAGCATGGTTAGGAGCTAACCTCAGCCTAAAAAAAAGCTTTTTTATGGTTCCAGACGTGGAACTAATAGGCAAATAAAATGGTACCTGAGTCAAACATCTGTTCCTCGCTGACCGCCACTGCTCTGGTGTTATGTAGTTGTCCAAACCAGGACTGCACTGGAGAGACAAGAGATGTTATTGTCGAGGAAGGGTGAAGTGCTTTTCCTGCAACATTCAACATTGTTACTGGCTACAAGGGAAACAACTGCAACTGCTCAAACAAATTAGTTTTGATAGATATATTGCAAGCAGCTGGACAGAGAGGCTTTGAAAAGGATTGATCAGTGTGAGGGCGTTTTAGAGGTGGTAGACGAGGGACAAAAGAGATGAGAAACCTGGACAATGTGTCCCAATTTACCATGTTTCTCTCGCCCACAGCAGCTAATAACAGCTCAAGCATCAGCAACATTATTTATCATACGGTTTGTTTCAAGGTACAACTTGTGGACTCAGGCACTGTCTCATTATCCGACATGAAGGATGTGCAACAAAGAACCGCCGACATTTCAGAGTCCAGGAAAGTAATTTCTGTTTCATACAACAGGTCTCTCTCTCTCTCTCTCTCTCTCTCTCTCTCTCTCTCTCTCTCTCTCAGCAAAAGTTGAAATTACAAAAGGCCAAACAGAGGAGAACTGTAGATAAGTAGACCCTCACCGAGACGGACTAAAAGACACTTCAGTGGGACTAGTATGACCAGGGGACCTCGTGTAATTCAGAATCCCCTCCTCACTCAAGCTGCTAAGAAGAAAAACAAGCATTGGACAAGTGAGACACTCCAGTTGAATCACTATGTGGGGTGAATAAATGAAAATTTATGATCACCAACGCAGCCTCCATAATCCTGAAGCAGGACAGAGGTCAAAAAAGAAGCAGATAAAACCAAAACACTTTGCACGGGACTAATATCATCACATAACCTCTGTGTTTGGTGAGATATGGAAGTGGATTTTCAGTGAAACTTTTACTTTTCACCCTGATGAAGGTCTGTCTAGTGGCCTAAAGCTTGACATAACTATCGAATACCCAAGACGGGACCGAGATGTGCAGAGCCTCTTGATTCCATATTAACAGTAAAAATATGCCCGAGGATCAAACAGATGTAACTACTAAACCAACAGAGTACCACAGGTCCCTGGGAGTTAAGAGGACATTCAACATTGCCTGGTGAGAGCAATGTTATGTACTATAATAAACAGCAGCGTCTCAAATAAAGCTTCACATCTGTGACAGCAGGTGTCGATTTGGTATCAGTCACCCATACATCTGCTTTGTATTGACAGAGAGTGAGAATAGCATTACCTGTGTTTCTCCACAAACCAGGCCTCCAGGGACCAGAAGCGGTCTCGGTGTGGACCTCCCGTCACTGTCCACAGAGGGCGTCCCCTCACTGTCCACAGAGGGCGTCCCCTCACTGCCCCATGAGTGCAAGCGCTGCACCATGGCCTGACGCTGAGCCCCGGGTCCTGTGGGGATGTTGCTTAACCTTTGTCCCTGACTACCCCATCCGTCCCCACTGCTCCTGCTGTACCTGCCCAGCTCAGGGGGGCCTTCGTGGATGGATGGTTGCCCAAGGGACAGGGTCTTGAGCAGACTCCTAGGGGTGTCGTACTGCAGTCTCGGCAGGCTGGGGATTTGATACTCTTCACCGTTCCTCTGGGACGCACGAGAGCAAGATCTGGAGACACAAGGGCAGGAAGAGGGGGTCGCAGAACTGTGCTCTGGGGTAAGTGTGGACTGAAAAGGAGGAGGAGTCGGGGGAGGAACAGCAGGAGGTGAAGAAGGAGGAGGCGGCGGAGCAGGTAGGCTGGCCACAGAGCCAAACCCCCCGTCACCTCCCTGGCTGGCCATGTCCAGACTCCCAGTATATGAGGAGAAGCTCCCTGAGTAAGATGACTGGCTGCCTGTTGCTATCCCAATCCCACTGTCTAACGAGCTCTGCCGCCCGCTGTCATGGAGCCCACGAGGATGCAGCTGGGCGGAGGACGGACGAGTCCCCGAACTTCCCATCACAGCAGCGTAGAGCCGGTCATCTGAATCGGTCAAAGCATTCAGCGTGGACGAGCTCGAGGCTGTCTCGTTAGGGAGGTGCGGTCGAGCTAACGGCTCCACACAGAATGGAAGTCTGCTTCCATAGCTCGCTTCCGACTGACTGGAGGAGGAGCTGGAGATGCTGCTGTGGTCGTCCCCGGCCACAGATGTGCTGAAGCTGTAAGTGGAAGCTGAAGAGGGCGAGAACGTTATTAGATCCTGACGAAGTGATTTATTAACTGATCTAAACACAAACACGCCAACCACAAAGTTATACACAAAGAACATGTAATGATTCATATAGAGATCATGTCTTTATTTAGGCTCCAGATACAAAATATCATGACCTGTGAAACCAGTGTTTAATTAACGGTTCATACTTTTCTATGCTGTGAAGTCAGAAATCTTGTTTCTTGTTTTTTCCCAAACTCTCTCGGAGCTTTAAAGTTAGTCGGCAAAAAAGAATAACACAGGAACTCTGACTCACTGCAGTTCACAACTCTGACTCATACAAACATTATTATGACAGAAGGTCCTCGTACATATAGACCAGGGATTCATCCTCTGCAATGACAGACGCATACAAGAGCGATGATTGAGAAATCCCAAAACGTTCATCAAGTATCTGACGGCCCTAAAATGATGCACACTATCCATCTGATACATGACAGAGAGCCCATGAGTTACATATTCAACATGTATCCTGAAGTGAAGGTAACGGTGTAACGTACCTGTGCTGCTTGCGAGGCTGCTTTGAGACAACATGCTGAGTCTCTTCTCCAGCTCGGACGCCTCTTGGCTGATACGTTCCTCTGCTGACACTGGATCAGCTTTGGGATCTGCAGACACACAACAAGAGCACAGAAACACACAACCGTCAGAGTTTGTGAGCAAAGAGAATGAAGACAAGATGACCCAGTTGTCTGCACACAGCTGATGACATTAAAACCTATTTCCACCGTCCATAATGTTTTTCACTCACTAAGTAAAAGGGTTGAGTTTAAGTTAAGTTTTGTGAACATTTTTTTATTTATCTTATTTATCAGCTCCTGAGGAATAGTTTACTTGTCACATTATGTTGCTGTGACTGTGATCAAAGCTTTGGAGGGAATGATGGTGAATATGTAGATAAAATCATTCACGTTTCACTTTTTCTTTTTATGTCATTAAGTGTGAAAACATACCTTAGTGTCCTAGAATGAAAGAATTCAGAAATACACATGAAAACCAGACCTCTTCTTTTAATTTAACACAAGCGGAGATATGAAGGCAGACGTCGTTAAGCTGCTCCTGGAAGCTGCAGCCTCTTCTTTAACACGTTTACGTGTGAGACTTGTAAATTGGAATCCTCCCAGGAGGTCGTACGCGCCTCGGCTCTCTGTTTGAACATCGATTTAGTGTAAAACCCTGCCAATTACACACTTAATGCCTGCTATATATACACAGAGTGTGTGCGTGCGCGTTGCAATGGTTCAAGGTGTTTGTGTGTATAGGTGTGAACAACCTAACCCCTGGATCTCTGCCTCTGGAGTGCAGCAGTTAATGCCAACGTGCAGATGCCACGTTTCTTCACTACGCTATGTGAGGTGTCAGCTAACATTAGCTAGCCTACGCTAATAATAGCTGCTTCACAGCACTGAATGTCGAGGGTTACAGCGGGCCTCGGAGCCGGCTGACGCAGGCTGACGCAGGCTCACAGACACTAGAGCAAATGTTGCAGGGAGGCTGAAGTTTTACTTTAAATGTTGACCATGCAACATGTAAAGAACACATACATTTTAGTCAAATTTGAATAAACTCCTTCAAGGAGTTCCTGAGGCGCCCCTTTCAGTATGAGACAGACGGACACACACACGGAAGAACAGACAACCCGAGAACATAATGTCTCCGGCTGTTGGCGGCATAAAAACGCATCGGAGGCACCAACATGTCTCCTTCAGCCTTGATCACACTGATCACTGGGATCTGGATTACAAAGTGATCATTCTGTTACAGAAAACAAGCTTTAGGGTCGAGTCCTTCTGCAAGTGGAGAACTCCCTGACAAGCAGGATGCGAATTATTCTACTGCTTACTGACAGGAAAGTTCAAATCCATCAGTATGCAGGAAATAGATTAAACAACTGTGTCCAGGTAAAAATAGTTTTATACTTTTAAATGAAATGTTAAGTGCCGTTTAATATTGGCAGTAGTTAATGTCTGAAATATAGAGATTAGAAGGTCTATTCTTGTCCCTTTTGTACAGTGTGAAACAATAAAAAGCCAAAAGGAGTTACTTGTCACCTTTCTTCATGATGGCATCAATTCTCCACCAATTTAACCTGAACGATTATCAAAGTTTCTTCACAAAAAAGGCCAGATGTCCAAAACCAGATCCTGAGATGTGTGTGTGTTTTAGTTGTCAGATTCTTGGCAAGTGTCCTTTTCTCTTTCCACCGGTCATTAAACCCTCCGTCTACATATTCATGGTCTCAGAAATGTCTGAAGGCATATTGTGTATGTATTGTTTCTTAAAAGCTTTCATGCATGCGTGCGTGCTGCATGCTTGCGTGAGTGCACGCCCACCTGGCAGGGCAGGTCGCAGGCCGTGAGGCCTCCTGCTGGAGGTGATGCCCCGGACGACGCAGTCAAACAGGGAACTGATCTGCTCTCCTTCGGGACAGGACAGAAAGAAAACACCAGCCCCTGGAAGATGGATGGGGAGAGAGACCGACATCATCATAAATGAGAGACGTACGCCTATGATGGATGAGAAAAAAATATTTTATCAGCAAACAGCATGAAGTGTGGTAAATGATGAAATATAGAGTAAAATCATCTTTGAGCCAGAGAGCTTTTGTGAAGGCAAGGCTGTTTGAATCAGCAGCGAGCCTCTTATGAAGGTTACACTCAGCCACACTCTGCTGTCAAACACACACAGAGCCGTGAGTCTGCAAAATAATGTCATGAAACGTCACAATCTCACATTGCCGAGATATTGAAAAGACAGCCACAAAGTAAGCCCGCACATCTGAGTATCATGTTTCTGTTATTATGGAACGTAAGTACAGCCAAGATCAGTTGAGTCGGTCTTAAGTTCCTTTGCTTTAAATGTAATTTACACATTTCAAAAACGGTTGTTGTATTATTACAGAGCTGGAAGTTAAGTTTGCATTTATGATTTTAAGGACAATTTAAAGACAATTCCATTTAGTTCTTCAAGCTGAATGAATGAAGAGCGTCCCTCTTGAAGCATCAGCAGTACATGTAATGAGAACTCTGAGCTTCATCAGCTGTTGTGTGTTTTATAGGATCTTCTCGAGTCCCAACGGGAGCAGATGCTGTGATCATAATATCGCTGTTAGGCTACGAGCTGAGATGATGCTTGTGTGAAAGCTAGGAACTTACATAGTGAACAATAGAACTCACAATAACTATAACTAATGAAAAGATGCTCTGCTTTTTAATCCAAGTGATTCATCTGAACTGAAAGACTTTTGAGAAGCTGGCCTCTGTGAATCTAGTTTTGTAAAGTCTGTCAGAAAGGTTACGAGCTACGTAGAAGCCCTCCTTCAGCCTTCAGCCTTCGGACATCAACACCAGACAAATAAACACAAACTCTGGCCTTGCACGGTACCGACAACAAAAGAGTTCATATATCATGTACGAGAAATACTCTGTGGAGAACTCTAAACAACTTAACATCGTACAGCACCAAAGACTCCTGGCTCAAGATGATCCCGATGTTCAGCAGCTGTTGAGCGTCCGCTTCCAGATTACACAAAGTAATTTATCTACACTTTCATTTGTTTATTGAACAGGGTCAGTTCATTGCACCAGATATGGCTAAAAGCTCACTTCTTCCATATATCCATTTAATACATTGTTATGCAAAATAGCTGCTTTAAAGTCAACACGGCGTGATCGTGAGTACGGAACGATCGGTCCAAGCTTTTGATGTTTGTAAATGTTATAACTCAACTTAATAAATCCTGCTCTTTGCTAAGAGATAGTTTTCTGCATAGTTTGCCAATATTTCAGTTAGCTGGAGGAAAAACATCTTCAGAGGCCTTGAGAAGCCTTTTCTCTTAATGTCAACACAACCTTTAAACAGAAGGAGATATATTCTATCACTGGAAAGAAAATCATTAGGATTTGTTCATTCCTCACAAACATGCTGAGTTCAGCTGCATGGCAGCTCATCCTGAAAGAAGCTGATCTTATTTTCACATTGCAGCAGTAATAAATCATACTAAAGAGAGAAGGAAGCAGCTTTTCTGTCAAATTTCAACAGGCAAACCAAATCTCTGCCTGCTTGGGACCAATGTACATATTATTGCTCCACGTAGGCAATTTTCTACAGTAATTTTAATGTCATATCGGAGAGTAATGAGACGAAGGCAGGAGGACGGCTGTTTTGGCTTGAAGTTTCTGCGTAGCAAATGCTGCGTCGTACTTTATAACATGTAATATTCTCTACACAAGAAAAACTACCTCACAAGTGCATTGATATGATACTGTACTACAATATGAGGTGTGTGTGTGTGTGTGTGTGTGTGTGTGTGTGTGTGTGCTTGCTCAGGGACATGGAAAGATTAAGATTAGAGCTGAAGTACAGACATCACTACATGAGTCACACTGATACAGTGTGTGCATGCGACTGTGCAACCAAAAGCACACAGGCTGAACTGATGAGTGCCTAGTGAACGTCTTTGCAAGGCATGACTGCCCACTGTCCCACACGACCGGTTGGTTGTCAGTCAGGGAATGTGTGTGCGTGTCCGTGGCAGTAGAAAGGCTCGTTGTGTCACTGTGCTGTACGTCTACAATGTACGTCACAGTGCAGCTGCAGCAGAGAGCACGGTGGCAGTCAAGGCTGAAATATGTTCATACAGCAGCATTAGACGAGCAACAAACCGGCCTTCTGATTCGCTCGAGGCCTTCAGGGAAATCAGGGAGCCGAGAGGGTAAAGGAGCTTTTTTAAAAAGTCATTCGGTTCAAAGTACAGTGCAACCTAATATTATACCGTGACTGTACTGAACCGTTTGCACATCTTTGCAATGATCATGGTCTGATTCTCTCCTGTAAATACATAGTAAATGTGCACACACAGCAGCTTTACATGGTCCGTCAGAACTCCAGGACAGACTTAAGCTAACACAGCACATCAGACATGTTGCTCTGCATTGTCTTTGAGTGAAGTGCACAGAAACATTTTTGCAATGATTTTTGGGTGATGTACGAAGAGTAGACACAAGTCAGAAGCCTGACTGTAACCAGGCCAGTTGCTGTTTTATTACCCCAAATAAAGTCGGCTTTGTGTGAATTCAAACAACACTCCACAGAATCACTGCAGAGCACTGGTATGTCTCCCACGTACTCGCCAAATACAAATTAACATGTAAAAATGTAAGCTAACACTCAGCACTCATGCGAGGAATGTCACTTGTCGATTTGACTCTCACATCTTTCTCTTTCTGTCACTCTAGGCCTCTTTCTGCTGCCTCTGGGGCTGCTGGGTAATATGTAGATGAGTTAAAAGGAGAAAACTGTGATTAGCAGTCCAGCTAGCAGGTGCTATGTGATTGGCTAAGTGACCACTACAGGGGAGGGTGGTATTTATAGACGTTGCCCATGAAAACACTGAAACCAGACCCTTTGGCCCTCAGGGTTATTCCTGGAGGAGCCATGAGACGCTTTGCACACACACACACACACACACACACACACACACACACACACACACACACACAAACCTCACTAAGTGGAGAAACTTTCTCTTAACACTAACACACCACGAAAACAAAAAAGTCAGTGAGGAGGTCTCACTATGCAACAGAGCTAGGTGTCTTAATAAAACCAGGAAAACAGCAGCTGTTGAGTTAAGTATTCCCACAGTGAACACTTTAAACACTGTCCCGTTGGACACTTGTCTTGCTGTCCATGTGTCTCGCACGCACGCACGCACACACACACACACGCACACACACACGCACGCACACACACACACACACACACGCACACACGCACGCACACACACACACACACGCACACACACCCAACCCAAAAACATGAAACTGCCTCTCATTCTTCACATTCATGGCCACGTCAACAGGACATTCAGACGATACTTGAACCGCGGCAGACTACACAAACACACATTGTTTGGTAGGCAGGCGGATAGTGTGCTGGGTTCATACATAGTATTATATTTTTAGGTATTTTTATTTTTTAGTAATTTCTTATGTGGATAAAGTTACGATATAAAGACCTGTAATGAATCTGTGTGAGTCTATTAAATGACAGATCTCTCAACCTGTGAGCACTGCAGAGAAATGAAAAGATGTGTTCATTCATCAAAGGGAACTTTAAACTGTGCTGCAGTGGAAGTATTTCACATTGACAAAGTTACCGGTTTAGTAAGTTACAAGCAAGTTCTCAATATTTGAAGGTATCTATTAAAAAGGTAGAAATGTCCATTTATACGGGAAAAGAGCAACGAAAATCTCAACGTTCATTGAGTGAGAAAATATTGTTTTTTTCCTCTCAGAAATCTAGAAGTTTCTATTTGTATGCGTTCTAAGATGAATGCAAATATATACTGCTCGTAAGAAGAGCATCAGTGCTGAGGAGGTTCAAATCACACTCATCACTGTCTCATCACTGGTGCTGTCAATGATGAATTGAATATTGGTGTAAAATGGGAACATAGAAAGAAGCTCTCTGATTCTTAAATACTGCCATTAAAATATTATATTACCAGTGATATTTATTTTACTCCCATTAAGCTCTAATGTAGCTCTGGTAGAAATTGCACTGACCCTACGGCATCTCGGTTTAATCAGTTAGCCACAAATAAGAGAAATACACCGACGACAACAACAGAGTCACGGCCCACAGCTGTTCTCCAGCTGTTGAAGTGTTGCCCTTCTTGGCTGCAGGCCACATTGTCTGAATACAGCAAAACCTTCTCAGTCCAGGAATTACTTACAGAATCCACAGCGAGTCCCCCCCTCGAACACAAAGCCATTTGGCACCGCACCATATCGACGCAGCGCAGACAACTTCCAGTGGCCGATGGCGACAGGCGGGACGCCTCTGGTGAGGACCAACAGGTTGTTGCACAGGTGGAGGGAGGCGGGGCCGCTCTCTAGTTTGGTACCTGGCTCGACATTGACACTAAACCTGTGGACTGAAGGAGAAGAAGAAAGACAGAGAGGAGAGTGAAGGTTTGGTAAGAGTTGAGTGTCTGTGGTTTCCAAACCGGAGCTACACATTCAGAGATGTAGCCGAGGGCAACGTCCTGCTGCTGTGTAGATTTACTGATCTCGAGCAAGCATTTTTTAGCATTAAAGAAATTATGTAAAACCAAATGCTGCCCTGAAGGTATCTGAATCAGTACCCTTTGGAAACTGTTAACAGCAATTTGAAGTATTCACAGCTTGCAAGAAGGATAAATTGAGGTAATTTGGTTTCAACATTTGTCCGGCAGCGCTGTGGACAAACTGCAGGCTTGTGAATATGTTTAAAACTGTCGTCAGCAACAGAAAGCACAGCTACACAACCTGTGTTCTAATAGGCGAGTCGTGATTCTTAGCTGTGGATTTTACATTGGAAGATAAAATATTAAATGTGGAATTTATTTTAACGGTCAGGAAGTCAGGAAAGAACAGATTTGCTGTTAAGATGGAAATATGTTCAACATGAGCTCTTAGTATCAGAAAACAGAAGTTGGGCTTCAAGGGGAGATAGAAGTCTGTGACACAGGAACAGTACAGACTCGTAATATTATTAAGAGGAACTATGGAGCCCGAAAATATCTTACAGTTGACATTTTGGAAAGAGGAAGGGAAATTATCGCTTTAGAAAAATGATTAGGAATATAAGTTCTGACATTACTGCCTATTGCTGCACAAAAATGTAAATTAAACTCAGTCTGGATGTGAAGTACAGCTAAAGGTTATTTAAATATGTTATTAAAATTCATGATATAGAGAGGACATTTCTCAATGAGATAAGTTAAAAGAGGAAAGTTTGGACAGAGAAAGTTATTCGTGAGGGTCCAAGTTATAACATTTAGGTGTCCCACTGCATACTTATAATTGAAAGCCAGAGTTTTGAACAACAGATACAATGCTTGTGTTTAATACTTTTTTGAGCCGTTTGTCTGGGACTGTATCAAGAATGCAGGAGGAGGAGTTCATATGAAAGAGTGCAGAATTCAGCAGGGTAATCGGCAACTGCATACGGTGGACTTTCTTACTCTTCTTGCAGACTTCTTCGTGTGCAGGAGAAGCCTGTGAAACGAGAGGAGGGGCACAACTAACATATACCCTTGTGTTCTTAAGAACCTTGCTTCACTGCACACTATACTGAGAATAAAAATAATAAAGTAAGTCGAATAAGTTAAGGCAACTCTAACAGAGTTCACTCATATAAAATGGGATTCAGTGTATTTTAGCATTTCTTACATGTGGACCTGATGAAGCCTTCTCCTTGTCCTCAGAGAAGCACTTTGAACAGACAGGAGTGATGAAAGACAGAAGTTATCCGTCTGTGATTCCACTTGTTTTTCAGCAACACTGCTTAACATCCCAACAGTTACATACTGTACACACTATACAGTACATACCTCATGTATTCTTACTGTGAATGCATATATGACCACATTCAGGCTTTAGTCTTTCACATGTTACGCTCAATAATAACTGTGCCATGGAGCATCTAGTGTCGCTTTAAGGCTCGATTACGTAATATTTGAGATCCTCGTACTGAATCAACCTTCTAATCCTTGAAACAAACAGCTCTCTATAACAGGGTTGTTAGTCCTGCTGCTCCACAAATAAACAACTATTTGTCAGCATTATGCAACTCTTTGAGATCCTTGCTTCTTCTGGTGCGTATTACAAACACAAAAACTAACCCGATACAAATAGCTGAATTTGTTAATGTGTGTTATTCAACTGCAGACCACTTAATCAAGTACATGAATCATTTGCATATCACATCCTTGAACAAGCACCCAGGACTGTGACATCCACACTAGGCCAAACCACTGACCTTCTCCCAGGCTGTAGCGGACGTGAGCATCCCAGGCCAGCAGGGCATCTCGGCTGCTGAAGCCCAGGACCAGCGTGTGAGCCAGACAGAGGATGGAGAGGGTGTAGGAGACCCCGTCGTACCCAGGCCCAGGCTCCACGCCACAGATCCCCTGAGGGAGCAGAGTAGATTACACTGAGATTGGATTTCTATTATTCTTTTTCATTGTGTATTCTTTTTGTTAGTCTACTAGCAGTCTACTTGTGACCCACCTCAAGTCCTTATCTATCCGTGTGACATCTACATTTAGTCCACCCCCTGTACATGTGACAGCCGTAGAAAGCATGTGATGCACCAGCACTAAAGAGCGGTAGTAAAGCTGCCCCAGCAGTGTGCTTCACCTGCACTTGAGATCAGAAGCAGCGAGCCTTTGGTCTGCTGCAGCTTAACATACCTCCAGGGTTACATTGAGCCTCTCCTTGTGGCCGCTGCCCTTCTCCTTCCCTTTCTTCTTCTCCTTGTACACCAGCAGAGACAGACAGTCTGAAGCAGAAACAGAGTGAGGAGCTTTAAGGATGGACCGGCTTAAAACTCAATTTTGTGCTTAATAGCAGAATGTAGAATAACAACAGTCACTTTTTTTGTAATCTCTGCTGCATGCCTGCCTGTGTTTATGGCACAGCTGTGATAACAAACCCGAAAACAATGAACTGATCCACTGGCACAGCTGGTGACGAAAGCAAAGCCATAAATACACACACATGGATACACACACACACACAGCAGAGTAGCTACATTACACCCATAAACTACCGCATGGCCACGTGTTTACGTGTCTGTCCTCACAGCATCTCAAGTGAAACTCCATTCTGTTCTCACACATGCTGCGTTCTGCTTGAAGAGCGAAGCCTCTGTTACAGTGAGGACATGTCACACTTTACGTTTAACTGGAATGCTTTCAAAGGATTAACCTGATATCCAACTGGCAAAAAAACTGTTTAATATTCAGACTTGAAGGACACAGGCACTAAATGAAATCAATCTTTCAGCTCAGCTGGTTAATTATTGCAAGACATCCCCACATGTTGACACGGATATGGTGCGTTACGCGCTCCCGTGGCGCACAGCCAAGAGACCAATTGACATGTTGTGATTAGTTTAACTGCAGAAAGCAGACGGGATTAGTGCTGAATGCTGCAGATGAATGAACTCAACTGTCTGTCGCTGTATACATGTGCACATTTTGAGTGGTAGTAATAAGATGATAGCAAAAAATAAAAGTGGTTTGCCACATACCTGCGACCGGAGAGGGCTTCCTAAGGACGACACACCGAGTCTTCCACTGTGGAGAAGTTTGTAAAGAATCAATAAACGACAAAGTAAATTCCTGCAGTTGGCCCTTAAGTATGGAAAGACATTTTATAGCTCCAAAAGAAGAGGAACATTGGCGGAATTAACCTTTTTTCCATCTCTAAACTTGACTTGTCCCTCCGCGACAACTGTATCCGTCATCTTCTGTCATGGTTCCGAGCAGCTGTGTGTGTGTGTGTGCGTGTGCGTGTGCGTGCGTGTGTGTGCTGCCTCTCCCCTAGTCCACAGAGAGAGAGGGAGGGGGGGGGGGGAGAGAGAGAGAGAGAGGGGAGGGCACTTTTCAAAATAGCGCTTACAGTCCGAGCCCCGCCGGCAGACCGCCCTCTCTCCCCGTCATCCACACCAACGAGGTGGGGAGTGACACCAGCCTCCCCCCGCGGGGTCCTGCAAAGTTGGTAGAGTTGTCATCCTGCATCAAGTGCTTATTGTTCAAAATGGAGCTAATTTGATTAAAACTAAATAACTTGCACACCTTTCACTTAACTGGTGAAGCTGCTCTGAGCCGGGTGTTAGACGGGGATTCATGAGCCTTACTGCTAATCAGCTGAGCCTCAGCTGAAGCCAGTTTAATATGTAAAAACTGGCTCGAGACAGTAATGCCAATTAAGACATGTGGAATCAGCAAATTAGCTCCAAATTTGCAACAGTAAATAAATCATTATACAAGATTACTCGTCAAGAAAATACTTTATTATGTGAACATGTCCATATGCCCACCGAATGAGCACATCCTGAGGGAAACAGCAGTCCTGCTGGTTTCACTGAATCACTGTTGTCTCTAAGCAACAAACAGTGTGACATACTGTAAATCCCTGCATTGCTCCGTCTTCACTGAGGTACGCTGATGGTATTACTTCCAGGGCCTCTGTAAGTTCAGGGGCATTTATTCCTGGAAAGCCAGTGTAAGTTATTGAACTAGCTGGTGCCAGGAACACTTCTCTTACAACAGAGTTGGGCCAATGCACGTCGTTCATGCTAGAATATCCTAAAAATGCAGACAGCTGACGATGTCTCGGGTTACCTTTTTGAAATGTTTGTATTAATTCTAATTCAGGAGGTTGACATGTGAAAATAGAGCTTTAACTGACTTTAATACTGCTAGAGTCTTCATTATTTTGTCTAACCCTTTTTAAAGGGCACTCTACAGATGTTACTATACTAGCCATGTTCAGTACTCAGTTTGAGAACACAGCTGTATAACGTTTTCTGAGGAGTTCAGCCAAATCTGAGCAATAACCCTGATGATGTCATCGTGGTTATTTTGGTTTGGGCTTGATGAATGCGCATTCTGAACAGAAAGTCTCCGACGCAAACTGGGGTTGTGGAGTGAGAAAGATGTCGGGGTTAACAGGGCGGCGAGGGCCCAACGAAACATGCTGTGAAGTTGCATTATAAGAAAAGGAGGACCCAACATTTTTAAAGAATGTTTCAGCCTCTGCTGCTTGGAGTTTGCCGGTTATCAAGTATTCCAATGTTCCAATGCTATGGAAGAGCAATACAACTGCTGGAGTGCCCCTTGATGTAGAGATGCATGTCAACATACAGAACCACAGAGCGACAGGTGTTTCAAGTATCCTCTCGTTTGGGCTCAACAGACGTGATGGAGAGGCTAACAGCTGGGCCCGGAAGTAGCCGTGTCCAAATGCTGTGCTCTACTCTTTGTATACAGTATTAACTATTAACTGTTGTAGATACTGTTTTTGCAGGTTATATACACAAGGTATAAATATACTTTATAGCTGATCCACAGCCTGTGACTTAAACATTCAAGAATTCCCCTCTGGATTAATAAAGTTCTATCTTGTAATAGAGTGAGAGTACAAGTAGTATTTAATGGAAATACTCCAGTAAAGTACAAGTCCCTCAAAACTGCACTTAAGTACAGTACTTTAGAGAACACATACTTTGTTCCTTTCCACCACTGCCACTGCGTAGTACGTACTGAGAAGGAATATGTAGTATGGAATTGAGACACAGCATTTGGTTAATCACAGCCTGTCATCTTCTAATAGCAGCCTTCGGTTTCAAGTCTGAGAACAGCTGCACAGTAGTTGACACTGAGCCCTTTGCCTCAGCTTGAGAACGGGACGATGTTTCATTTGCGGCAGACATTGTCAGTGAGGTCAGAGTCACACAGACGACATCACCAGGCCAGACAGTCTGTGAGTCACTGAAACGTCCTCAAACAAAGGTTGCTTTCAATTTACTCCGGTCAATCTGCCCTTTGCCCTCCCTCTGCTCCGACTTCCTCTTGGCTTTGACCATGGAGGGCAATTCTGAAGTCTGGTATACTGCTGACCTCATCCTGCTGCCACGGCATCGCAGCTCTAAGGCCACACCCTCCCACTTCCTGTCCAGCTCTAACCCCTGGGAGCCCCTGAGGTCTCGGGACCCCCTGCGGGTTTGTATTCTGTCTTCTGTGTCAAAGCTGGCCCCAATGTTGTCTAAATCCAAGGCTCGCTTTGGGGTCGAGTGGTTGGAGCGGGATGAAGGGGACTTGGATTTGCGACGTGAGCGAAGAGGAGGCCGTGGTGGAGGAAGAGGAGGAGGAGGAGGAGGAGGAGAGATTTGGTTGGAAGACGTTGTTCTTCTGCTTTGCCTTTTGAAACCTCCTCCTCCTCCTCTTTCCCTGTCTTTCCATCTGTTTCCGTCTTTACCTGAGGAAGAAGAGGCTGCTTTAAAAAGAGAGCCGACAAAAGAGACGACAAAGCACTCGCCGACACCGCAAACCATCCACATGCAAGGAACACTCACAGACAACACAAAAGAAGTGCAAAATGTTCTGCATTTGTAAAGAGTCTGTGGCGCAGAGCAACGTAAAATGAAAAATAACAAGAACATAGCTGAACCAAAGCTCTCCATGCTTCTGTGTGTTTATGTGTATGTGAAGTAGACAGCGAGAAATTAAGATGATTATTCACATTCTGTCAAATTCAGTGAACTATCACTCTGACTGACATGACCAGCCTGTAGCCAACTGTTGCAACACCAAGGACACACACACACACACACACACACACACACACACACACACACACACA